GAACGTCCACCATAATATAATGAGTGAAAAACTGGATCATTAATCATGCACTAGCGCAGAGTTCCTCTTGATATGATTTAATTTCAAAAATTACTGATCAACCAATATGCAACTGATTGTCAGGCTTCTAAATTTTTCCCCATAGATTTTCCTTACTGAAAAATTGAAAGGATTAGAGGACATCAGATAAAAAATTGTTATTAAGTAATTTATAGGCCGTGATCAAGTAGCGTAAAGGTTGCAGTTGAATTAGAAATATCCTTGTAATTTTCATTCACAGAGGACATTAAGATCACTCCGGCTGAGAGGGCATTTCATAGTGTAGTAACTGATAAAGAGAAATGAGGGCATCCTGATATCAGATCACATAAAATTCCCTTTAAGGTGAACGTGAATAATCACAGGTGATGGATTCTGTACTCGCTAGACTTACATTTGAACTCTATCACCAACTTGGTTACTTTTTTTTATTGGTCTAACAGATTTGTATCTCCTTCGAAGAGAGAGCGAAAAGGGTGTAAACGTCAAGCTGGAGCCATGCGCACATTTTAAGCAATGTTGAGAACAACATTGATTCGACTGCGTGAATTTGTCCATGCATAGAGTGGAGAGTTGCGCTAGTCTTGTGTGGACCCCTTACGTAGTTTTAACGTGTATATAAGTGCTTGGTGCTCACAAATGCAAAACTAAGCTTTGAGAAGAAAATAAGGAGTGGATTTTCATTGAGTCTCTGAAATACTAATTCAAAGGTTAGCTGAATATCTCACAGACTCTAAACTACCACTATAATTCAGAGAAACTTCCAGACTCCTAGATTAGTTGGTCTATTAAGCTGGCATTAAAGATCTTTGACACCTCTAAGCTATTGAGATCAAAGCCACATGATCCATTTAGAGCACAGATCCGTTGGCTTGTGGGCTTCCTCCTTGCCATGAATCAGTAGAGATATTTAGGGTCATTTTGGATTTTAGCTGCTGGCTTGGCCTGGAAATATGCCCTATTACTACAGACTCTAATGTCGCATCGATTTCTCAATGCCAAGTAAAAGCTTAGATTAGAATCCTTCATGGAGACTTTCAACTTGATATAGGCTCACTGTTTGGCCAGTAGCAAGCGTTCTATCACTCGTCTACCACAGGGTCTTTGCTTTCTGAGCTTATGCTTACGTTGTGGCACGTTGTATTGGATAGCATGCTGAATCATATCCTTCACTTTCCACCAGTGGTCATTCACTGTTAACCATCGCTCTCATCACCTGATACTCCTCTGTAGAAGCATGGGTCAACTGGATTTCCGAATGCATGCTTACGCTGTGGTATATTGTGTTGGATAACATACTGAATATGATCTACGATTATATTATTACTGCTACGATAATAGACTCAAATCTAAAATTTTACATTTCTCATGATGTGACAACCTAATCTATAAGATCTTACGTGGATGTTACATGATTATCTACATTGACACATTCGTATTGTAACAATCATCAGTGTCCGGTGAAAACCACAGTTAAGCTGGAGGTATAACAATATATTTATTATAGATAAAACACTGTTACGTAAATCGGACCACAGCGATAGACAACCCCGCCATCAAAAGAAATTACATTAAAATGCTGTCCATGGTTTGAACGAGCGACAAGCATGTGGCAAAATTCCTATTTTTGTGTTATATCCCATCAGCAGTCTGTAACACTAGCGGTTTGTGATGCTCCTTTCCTCTAGTTTGTTCTTTGCTTGTTTATCTTATTAGGAGTAGGGATCTGGGTGTGATCCTGATTACTTGCCGGCGAATTCACTTTTGTTTTTCGTGTTGAATTGTCCATGCTGTACATACCCCTGTGGGGTTCTTTTTCTGGTTTCGTGTTGAGCTTTTTTATAGTCCCGTTTCTAAAAACGGGGAATATCGACTTATTATTAACCTATAATGTTTCGAATTATTTGGATTATAGCACGAACTAAGAGTCCAAGAAATAACGCACAAACGAATATACTGTATTTGGAATTCGAAATCGAGCATTCAACAAGTACAAAGAATCATTATTTAATTCAAACACCACATCCGCTTAAATAGAAGTATACGTGTTTGTAATCCTTTGTATGTCTTCTTGTTAAGTTCATCCTGAGTCTGTCCGACATTGTATTGGATAAAAACTTTGTAGTATCTAGAATGTGCTCATTAGTATTGGAATTAACAAACGAAATCGGAACACACTAACCTGGAATTGTATGCAATCAGCATGTCGGTTTTGTACCGAAATCATTAATATCTAGAATTGGAAACATATATTTTTCAACACTATCCTCCCCCACGAAATAATGTTGGATCTTTATATCCCCAAGTTATGAATAATGTGACTTCATTTAAAACATATTTCTCACACTAACCAGAGTATACATCGGCAGTGGATTTGTGATAAGGATAAACAGCAGTTGGTATGAAATCATCCAAATTGTGATCAAAATTGAGCTCACTTAATACTCGTGCTTCATATTGAACAGGTTTTTCACAAAGATCAAATGCATTATAAGGATAGGTAATACATGATATAACATAAGGAGTTGATTCTATTGAAATATTCTCATGAAATTCATTAAAAATGCCATTGCAGAGTAATGGATCATTAGAAAAATCAGCATCTATCAAAACTACATCAGGTTTTCGATCATAATTATGTTCACTTAACATATTTTCTTCAGATTTGCAAGGAATTTCATCAGAAATATGTGAATCATTAGGAAAAACCATACCTGGTAAAAGAGCATGAGAATTCTGATAAATCGATTGGTGAGAAACTGTTGTTTCGCAAGAATTCTGAATTTGATTGAACTCTGAACTGCTTTGTGACTCTACACTGTCTATTGCAATAGTTGATAAAGATAAATCATCATTATAAATACTCGACTCAGTAGAATCAGAATTACAAGACTGAATATTAGTTGCAATAACATGAACATTAGTATTACAGACTGACTGAATATGTTCAATATCCCCACATTTAAAGCAATTAGAATTACGAAATTTACATGAATTAAAAGCATGGAACTTGCCACAGGACAAACATTGACCAAACTTGCGCTAATCTTCGTGAAACGCACTGCAACTTCTCAATGAATTATCTGCATAACCTTGAGTATGCACTGGATTAGGATAACGTGATGTAGTAGAATTTTTGATGTCCTGGATAATCATTTTAGGAAATTCCCCTTCTTTACTGCAATCAAAATTTGCATACTTGACATAGTCCAGTAGTACTTCCTTGAGAGTTGTATAAGGAAGCGAAATGGGCTTTTCCGGCATAGCCAGAGTTCTTAACAAGCTGTATGCTTCTTTACCGATGAATGTGAGGAAACATCCTCATCATCTTCCTTGGTCATGACCCAGATTTCGAACCTTTCGAAATAATCCTCAAAAGCTTCAGAAGTTGAACGAATGTCTAACTTTTCCATTGCAGGCTCAATCGCGACGCCAGTATAATGTTTCGAATTATTTGAATTATAGCACTAACTAAGAGTCCCAGAAATAACGCAATTGAATTAAGAAGTCACAAGCACAAACGGATGTACTGTATTTGGAATTCGAAATTGTGCAATCAACATGCACAAAGGTATCATTAGTCAATTCAAACACCACATAACCTCTGACATAAGATCTCTAGTTCCGCTAGTCGCCCTTGTGGTGAACAAGATGAGCATGCAGTATGTATGAGCGTCCTAATATATGAATATGCTAGTGGAAAGGTGAGTTTTTCCTGTTATTAGTGAGAGATCAATAATGTCACGTCAAGCTCGAAGAGAAAGCAAACCATTTAGTAGTAAGCTCTATGTCTTTTTTGTAGTAATGGATTCATTTCTTCATATCCCCTATACTTTTCAATGCTCATTTTTTCAGATTATTAATATCACGTTATTTAATAGTGGTTTTAGTTGAGTATGAATGACCGGATGAGAAGAGACGCCATTCTTTTAGAAGCGAAATTTGCTAATGTTGTCTTAGTATATTAGAGCATTACATCCACCGTCTTCACTATTTACCTCATTATATACCGGATTATATCCCCTAACTCTTCGTTCTTCTATTGGTGAGAGATCACTTTATTCCTGACTATACAAATTAAGTAACATAATAAAGTCATAAGAATGCCCAAATTTCACAAATTCATGCCACCGAAATTCAAGTACTGATTGATTAAGTTAAACGCAAAACAGTACCTATATAACTGAAATGTTCCAGTGAAGTACGTTCAAATAAGTCTTATATTT